AACAATTTTTGAAACCCACCACTGATCCATTGGTAGTGATGCTGTCTATCCCACGTTTTTCTAGCTTACCAAGAAGTAAGTTGTGATCTACTTTGTTGAATGCCTTGCTGGATAAAATCCATTACCCAAGACTTAAAGAGCTGCAGCAGAAGTTACATACAATAATTTTAACCCTATTTCTCTGTCACAAATTTGCCTAATTCTGAAATATTCAGAGGGAAGTTACTTTTTTGAGTATGTTCAAAGTAAAAGATGATGGATGCAGTTTTCTGTCCAACACAAAGCTCTAATAAACCATGTATGATCTCATTTGTAAAATGAACCATCTCCATTAACTGTGGTGTGCAGAACATTCTAGGACTATGGCTGCTATTTATGTAAACTTTTTATTTAAATTCATATTAGTGTCATTTTTCTACTCTTTTCTTTTAACTACCTTTAACCGCATCTCTCTTATCTTTTGGTTTCTTTTGTCTTCATAATTTCAATTCAATCTCAGTTTCACATGGATATAGATAGAATTCTATTTAACAAGTTGAACATTAGAACCATGATTATAACAAATTTCCCCTGAAGTCTGATCCACTCAGGATGTCAGGATGAATCACAGAGAAATAACTGTTTACATGATAATATCATTTTAAGAAGAGAAGAAGGGGGGGACAAGGAAAGGAGAACTTTAGGCATGATGGTTGGCCATGACTGTTTTCTCATTCTTCTTTTGGTGGTAAATGAGTCAGAAATTACTTGGCCAGAGAAATAACAGTGTTATTCAAATTCTGAGCTGGAAATGACTCATTTTACTCTGAGAAAGTATGTAATCCCCAACATAACTGACAAGTACATACAAAAACCCTCTCTTTTTCCTTCTTTCTCATATACTGATACTCAAACATTCTCTCTCTGTCTCTGTTTCTCTTTCTGTCTCTCTCTCCAATACACACAAAATACACACACCCACACACTAATATCTGATTTTATATAGAAATCAGTGCATCAGTTAGAAACCTGGCGCTACTTTCCAGCTATGACTGTTTGTATTTGCTATGGAGTATGCTGGTGAATAACACTAAAAATACTGGGTTGTTCCAAGTTATACACATCCAACTAGAATGTTAACATCCTGACTTGCACAGAGTAGTTAATCTAATTAAAAGATTCACAATATTTCTACACTAGAAGTAGTTATTGGGTTTTTAATGACACACCTAAGTTATAAATTTTAAAGACGTATATGGGGGAAAGGGAAATGGAATCCAGATTAAATTTAGGTTTAATGTAATTACTTAGAAACAGGAAATGTAATTAATATCCATCTATCAGTTGTTTTTCCCCTTAAGTCACTTTGAACATTTCCACTTGGTCAAAAAATGGCAAAGTCCTGAGAAAGTATAGACAGCCCCGACATAAAAAAATGAATTTATCATATTTCCAAAAGTCTCAATGGGGTTGGATAAAAATGGATGGGGATGTTCCTATTTTATAAATAAAGCCATATTTTCTTATTTTCTTATTTTATAAATAAAGCCCTATTTGCCACAGGACAAGAAGAAGGCAAGACAAGAAACAATGGATGGAAACTGAACAAGAAGAGAAGCAACCTGAAAGTAAGGAGAAATTGCCTAACAGTAAGAACAATTAACCAGTGGAATGGCTTGACTTCAGAAGTTGTGGGTGCACCATCACAGAGGCTTTTAAGAAGAGACTGTATAGCCACTTGTCTTGAATGGTATAGGATCTCTTGCTTGAGCAGAGGTCTGGATTAGAAGACCTCAATGACTTTGTTATTCTGTTATTAGAAGTCAGTGGAGAAAATTAAACAAGCACTTATGAGAAGCTTTTGATTTATATTATATGCCTCTTGAAGGTTAGAGATATTACTGAACAAAATACAGAAGAAACTGGATACATTTAGTCTTAAGAAGAAGAGAGAGAAATATTTCAGCACTTTTCAGATACCTGAATGAGTCATACTAATGGAGTCTATTTGGAGTGCATTTTTACCATTAGAAAAAGTTTTCTGACAAAAGAGATAGTTTGACAGTGGAAACAATTATTCAGATGGGTGGTTGAATCTTCATTATACTGGACAACAATTTTTTTCAAAAGTGATTATGATGAATTCTTCAAACCGAATACAAATATACAGTAATTTCAAAATGACTGTATCATGTAGGAATTTTGAGAAATATGAAACTAATTTTTAATTACTATAATGTATTTAATCACATAATGTTTCCAAAATGTTGCATAAGTTCCACAGGGCTAAAAATATTTTGCTGCTGATTTTCATTTGTCTGATGATCTTGCTGTAGTATTAACAATAACATTAATAGATTCCAGTTGGCCTAAATCCCCCTTTTCCATTGTAACAATGTTCTGGTGAAAACTTTTACCATGTTTGTCACTGACTGCATCCAGATTTTTGGCATAGAAATCTAAGTGTGAATGCAGAAGGTGAATCTTTAGTGACATTTGCACTTCATATATGCTGAAAGTTTAAATCAGCTGAATGTATTTTGGTGCCCTATAATTGCCAGGAAAATTCTCAACAACATTCTTGATTGTTTTGCAGGTTATTTTCTCTGGTACCACTAATAGATCTTCAAACTACTTGTTATTGGTGATATATCTGATCTGTGGACCAATAAAACTTCCTTCCTTGATCTTGGCATCAGTTTCTTGGAATCATATGTCTCAAATAACGAAAACCCTCACCTTCCTTGTTCATCACTTTTATAAAATTTTTAATCAATCTGAGTTTTATGTGAAGCGGAGGTAAAAATATCTTTTTTAGGTCAATAAGGGTTTTATTCATGTGTCACATTTTTCTGCGCTGAAACAAAATTCTTTAGGAGTGATCATTCTTTTTAATTTAATGCAACTGTCTTGCATGGATGTTCCAATCCCATAGACATATATAACAGTGCTTGGTATATACAAGCTGCATTTTAGATCTCCATAGCAGGGGTGAAATTCAGTAGGTTCTGACAGGTTCTAGAGAACCGGTAGCGGAAATTTTGAGTAGTTCAGAGAACTGCCTCTGCCTGGCCCCAGAGTGGAGAGGGAATGGAGTTTTTGCAGTATCCTTCCTTTGCCACCCCCATCAAGCCATGCCCACATCACCAGTAGTAAAAAAAAATGAATTTCACCACTGCTCCATAGATTTTCCAGTTGTTCTAACTGTGCTGGACCTGCTTCAAGAACAGTTCCACGTTTTTGTATGTTTCTTTCATGTGTACAGCATAGTCAACAGGTACTGATGGGTATACATTGCCATTGTGTAAAAATAGAAGATTTCTATAAAATGGTATGTGATAGATTAAATTACAGGTTACTTTTGTGAATGGCAATCAAAAATCTATTAAATATACTATACAAGAAGCAAAATCTTTGTTGTTCAGT